TCCTCGACGAGATGAGGACGGCAGACAGATGAGTCGAGAGTTCTCGTGCGCATGCCCGATTGAGTTAATTTACTTCCGGTAGCCGTCCTAGCTCGTCCCGTCCTGGTATCTTAAGGTGCCTAGTAATAACGTCAACATCTAGGCTGGGGAACGCGAACGAGGACGGCTAATTTTTCGTTTTTCCAGTTGGAATTGAAAGCTGTCATTGCATATTTGGGCGCTAGCACACGTTTTAAGAGCGATTGGCGTAGTGAACAGATCAATACAGTCGCGAATTCCGATGGCTAAATAGAAATTTATTTTTTACTAGGCGTCGTCCTCGGCGTCGCCGTCGTCGTTGCTTAGGGTGGTTCGACAGAGTTTTCTCTGGACCATACCCAGCATTTTCAATTGGCGTTTTACTAACTTTCCCTTACTCTGATCGATGTGGAAATTATACCAGTTTTTGGAAAAAGATTGAAGTTTGGTTGAATGTGTTTTTAAGGTAATCGATATTTCCATGGATATGATAAACATTGAAACCTTTTCAACGGAGTTTTTAGGTATTGTGTTTACCAGTGAATGGTTTGATCCCCTTCTAACGATCCAAATTATTTTAAGCCCGGCGGCTTTCTTTGTTCTACGAAAAGCAAAGGGAAGGACTTTGAAAAAAGAACCTATTTCTTCAAGTTGCCTGGGGCTGGAGAATCATGATAACAGGTAGCTGCTAACAATGTTCTGAATCTATAAACAACAGAACTTCCCACTCTTGAGTCCACTCTTTAGATATCTTCCTTCGAACGGTCAGTCTTCCGCGATATGCGAACCCTTTTCACACGCTAACCCTCTGTGGAGAACTGAATGTTATATGTGACTTTGCCTCCATTCTGAGAAGTCCTGAGCATGAAAGAAATAATTCTGAAACTGACAGCTGTAAATTGACAAAGCAGTATTATTGAAACTCATGTCACAACTGCTAGGACTCGCTTGCACCTGCAAAACTTGCAAAGAGCGCATGTCCAACTGCATTTGTCTAGGGTGGGCCTTTGACTGCATGTTTACTTAACGAAAAATTTTCGTCGAGGGAGAAAAACTGGAGATTCTTCATCATAATAAAAATTTAAAGAAACGTAAAACCAACCAGAAAGAGTGTCCAGATTGACGAATATATTTGCATCTGCAAAGTCAAGTTTAAGGCTAATGCTGAGCAAAAAAATTACGATCAAAGACCACGATTCTAAACAAAAGAAGACAAAAGGCTACCAACTGGTTTCGGCTAGGCAAGTTTGTCATGTGTTTCTAACGGAATTATCGCTTCAGTTTAGAAATTTTTTTAATTAAACTTGAGACGTAAAATCGACAGCAGGAAAACTTGACAGATTATTGAAGCTCATGTCACAACCGCTTGGACTTGCTTGCACCTGTTAACCTTGCAAAGAGCGCATGCCCAACTGCATTTGTCGAGGGAGAAAACCTGGAAATTCGTCTGGATGGAAGAAATGCTAAGAAACTTAAAACCAACCAGATTGACTTACTGCCTTCCTCATTTGTATTATCCATATCTTGAAGGTCATCATCAGTGTTTTCCTCCAAGAAATTTTCGGGAATAAAGTCGTCAGGGCCTGTTAGTAAATTTTTAATTGGTAACAGTATTTGCATGCTCATCGTTGACATAGTTGAACCGGGCAGTAAAATTAGCCAAACACAAGTTCTTTAGTTGTTTTGGTCTTCTTTGGTAGCGCTCAATGAGATTGTCAGACTCTATGTCATGAGAATTATCTGGTAACTCTCTTATTTTATTTAAATTCTTTAATAAGAAGGTCCTTTCATCTGGATATGATTTATTGATGATCTGAAACTCTCGGGTTGATAGGCAGCTTCCTGAGCACTTATTTCAACAGCATTTAGAAATTTGTTTCTTATGCGCCTCACTTTGATGTGAAGTTTATATGAAATAATTCATATATGAACTGCGGTTGTAGATGAAAGTGAAGAATGATNATTTAGAAATTTGTTTCTTATGCGCCTCACTTTGATGTGAAGTTTATATGAAATAATTCATATATGAACTGCGGTTGTAGATGAAAGTGAAGAATGATCATCGCAGTAAATTTTCCAATGGAAAATTTACTGCGATGATCATTCTTCACTTGCGAAAGTGTTAATCTCCTCAAGAGGTTAAAATCATAGTTCTTGGGTTGGTGGCAAGGGAAAGTTAAACCTATAAACCCTCTGGCCTGTTCTCTTACATGTTATGCATGCCTGTGCATTTGGAGATTCACATGGTCATCCATTTCATTTCCATAAGGTTTTTGGCAAGTGAGATATTTATTAACAAAAGTAACAACTTTCTCATCAGAGTTTTTCTCATACTGTGGTGCATCTTTAACCCAAAACAGGCCATGAACATGAGGGCTGCCCTGCTAATGCGACATATCACCTGCTAATTTGTCACAATGTCTTCAATGTCTTCCGAAAATGTGTTCAAATGAGTAGAAATAGTTTCCGTTTAAATTAAGCTGTTATTTTAAAACAACTATTTGAGGGTTGAAATTTTAAGAAACTACACAACGTTTTTTAATACATGTTTCAACAGAATCTTCTGTCATCTTCAGTTTGAAGTACAAACTACAGAGTTGAATATATAGTGTGCGCAAAATGCTAATTGAATATAAGAACAAAAGGAAAACATGACATTGTTAAACATATTGCAGACCGACATTTTTCCGCCCGGCATTTTTCCACGCGCGTATGTGAGCCCATGTTCAGTGATAGGACCTCTCATATTTTCAAACACTTACAAAATTCTCAGCAATGCCGCACTTCATGCTCCAATGACTGTTTCAGTATCCTAGATCACGCTTCCACCACCTTCCAGCTTAAGATAAGAGAAGCTATTCATATTCAATGGGAAAAACCTACACTAAATCATCAACTTTATCATGTTAATTTAAAACTTTCTCTGTAATATTTTACATTGTCATGCTTCCTTTTGTTTTTATATTCAATTAGCATTTTGCGCGCACTATATATTCAACTCTGCACTATGTAATTTAAACTGAAGATGACAGAAGATTCTGTTGAAACATGTATTTAAAAGAAGTTGTGTTGTTTCTTAAAATTTCAACATGTCTTCTACTATCCAGACCTATTTGAGAGTTCTTGAAAAACTCAATATTGTATGTATGTGACCCAAAAACGTAAAATTAAATTCAGATTGCACTAAATCAACTTGCTTTAAAGATTAAGATAGTTTTGAGGTGGCTTATGACAAAAAAAGCTATTAAAGTTGGGTATGGTCTGGGTTCAAAAACATAGCACAACAAGTAGTTAGAATTGGGAAAGGTCAATTTCATGCCAGTGTACTTTGCTTTGAAGAAACAACCCATTTTAGTATGGAAAGTTGTTATTTTAGGCAGCCAGTTATATTAGTGATAGCTTATTATTCCATTTAGGAAATGTTTAATTATTAAGAATTGGACGGACACACAGGCTAACAGCCCAAATAGATGTCTCTAACGTCAGAATCTGCAAATAAATCTTATTAAATACCTTGATGGAAGATAGGTTGTAATTTCTGAAACGGAACTTACTGTCAGCAGATGTATTTTTTCCAAAGACCAATTATTTCATGCCAGTTTTCAATTTATTACAATCAATCAACCCATTAGTAGTATAAAACTGGTTATTACCACCAAACAATGGACGATAATTGAACTTATTTTCGGTAACATTTTATGTCTCGAGTTTAATTAAGAAAATTTCTGAACAGAAGGAATATTTCCCTTAGAAAGGCGCGACAAACTTGCCTAGTCGACACCAATGGGTATCCTTTTGTCCTCTTTTGTTTAAAATCGTGGTCTTTGGTCGTAATATTTGTGCTCAGCATTAGCCTTAATCTTGACTTTGGGAATGCAAGAATGTTTGTTAGAAAGGACACTCTTTCTGGCTGGTTTTAAGTTTCTTAGAATTTCTTTGATCTTTACGAATTTCAAGGTTTTCTCCCTCGACGAAAATTTTTCATTAAGTAAACATTTAGAGGCTCAACTTAGACAAATGCAGTTGGACATGCGCTCTTTGCAAGCTTTACAGGTGTCAGCAAGTCCCAGAAGATGTGACATGAGCTTCAATAAACTGTCAAGTTTTCCCGCTGTCGAATTTACGTCTCAAGTTTAATTTTAAAGAAAATTTCTAAACTGAAGCGATAATTCCCTTAGAAACACATGCCAAACTTGGCTAGCCGACCCCATTTGTCCTTTTTTGTTTAAGATCGTGGTCTTTGATCGTAATTTTTTTGCCCAGCATTAGCCTTAAGGTTGACTTTAGAAATGCAAGAATGATCGTCAATCTGGACACCCTTTCTGGTTGGTTTCACCTTTCTTAAAATTTCTATTATGATGAAGAATGTCCAGTTTTTCTCCCTCGGCCAACATTTTTCGTTAAGTAAACAGTCAAAGGCCCACCCTAGACAAATGCAGTTGGGCATGCGCTCTTTCCAAGCTTTACAGCTGCAAGCAAGTCCTAGCAGTTGTGACATGAGCTTCAATAAACTGTCAAGTTTTCCTGCTGTCGATTTTACGTCTCAAGTTTAATAAAGAAAATTTCTAAACTGAAGCGATAATTCCCTTAGAATCACATGACAAACTTGGCTGAGACCCCATTTGTCCTCTTTTGCTTAATATAGTGGTCTTTGATCGTATTTTTCTTGCTCAGCATCAGCCTTAAGCTTGACTTTGCAAATGCAAAAATGTTCGTCAATCAGGACACTCTTTCTGGTTGGTTTTACGTTTCTAAAAATGATGAAGAATGTCTAGTTTTTCTCCCTCGACGAACATTTTTCGTTAAGTAAACAGTTAACGGCCCACCCTAGACAAATGCAGTCGGGCATGCGCACTATGCAAGCTTTGCAGGTGCAAGCAAGTCCTAGCAATGGTGACATGAATTTCAATAATACTTTTTTGCCAATTTACAGCTGTCAGTTTCAAAACTATTTGTTTCATGTTCAGGACCTCTTAAAAGGAGGCAAAGTCATTCGGTTCTCCACAAAGAGCTAGCGTGTGAGGAGGTTTCGCTTATCGCGGAAGACTGACCGTTTGAAGGAAGATATCTAAAGAGAAGACTAAACGCGGTAAGTTTTGTTGTTTGTTATTCAGTACATCGTCAGCAGCTTGGTGTTATCATGATATTTCTTTGTGATTCAATGCACCAGCCACAGGCAACTTGAAGAAATAGCAGTTGTTGTTGTTGTTGTTTAAATCCTTCCTTTTGCTCTTCGTAGAACAAAAGCAAGCCGCCGGGCTTAAAATAGTTTAGATGGTTAGATGGGAATTAAACCATTTACTGGTTAACTAAATATCTTAAAACTCCGTTAAAACCCTAGACCAATAAAGTGCGACGATTATATACGGACTTATATATTTTTGAGGAGACTCCATATTATAGAAAAAAAAAAATTGCTAAGTAGCAGATTAGAAGAATATTCCAGTGATTTATTTACTAAGTTGTGAAAACTCCGTCATTACCGTATTTTAGTTTAAGATGCGCAATTTGATGTAGCTGTTCGTTTTCTTGTTGATCCCGTTCTAAACATTTGTCTTGTTAATTAGTTTCATTAAACGGTGTCGGAAGTGCGAGAGAGGATAGGCCGAGAACTCTCAACGAGACAATGTAGCGTTTATTTTAGACAACTGAGCGCTTGTTGGATTTCGAAAGAAAAGAAAAAAGGACTGAAACGTGTAAACATTTGACGTTTTTGTATGTCAGTTACATGATGCTAAAAAAGAAAAGCTTCATTTCTTAACTTTGATTGCTCACACGAATGATCAGCTTAATAAGCCACTTTACAGTTGTATGCTTAGTTACCTGGCCATGGATCCAAGCGAGGCTGGAGGTGAAATTGCTTTGATACAGACCTCTCTGCTTTTCTTATTCAAATGCCAACTAATTAGCACAAGGAAAACTTGATTTACACAACAAAGCAGCAAGGTCTGTATCAAAACAAGGCCATTTCCAGCCTCTCTGCCATTCAAAGGCCAGGCCACTAAGCAGACAACAGTAAAATGGACTATTTCAGAGGTGCTTTCAAGCCCCGTTCACTCTACGCCAGAGAAATTTAAAAACGAAGTTCCATTTCTACGCGGTTAGGCCTACCGTCCACACTAATCTGTCTGGAAAACGGATCTTTTCGAAAACACTATCAGTTCAAAAGGGAGAATTTGAAAACGCTGACCATGCGTTTTAGTGTGAACGGAAAATTATTTTTGAACACGGAGCTTTTCGAAAACAATAGTGTCACAGTAATAATGTGATTTCCCTGACCGACTTTTCGTCAAACACAAGTCCAAAACGACCGGTGATTGTTGCGTTTTCAAATTTCTTAGGCATAGTGTAGATGGGACCTTCAAATGTACTTAGGTAAGGCCTATAGGGAATAAATAAGAGCCGCTGCCCCGTCATCACAATTTCCAAGGAAAGGAGGGACTGATCGCATCAAAGAGCGCTTTCGTATTTTATGTTTTGTACGGAAGGTGGCAAATGTTCTCTGTAAGAATTCTATACTCTTCATGTATTTTTCGTCCACAAGTCCTGCTTTTCTGTTGTATTAAAAAAAAAAGCCATGGAGGCGAAGCTTGGGGCATGTTTGGTCGTGATGTTGGTTATTTTGGGGACTGTAACCGTACAAGGAGCAATACCAAGACACGAGACGTTTGCCAGGCGACCTGACTCGCGTGAGTGTTCCTTCATGATCCATTGATAAAGAGTAGTAGACATGGCATTTTATATAAAATGCAATTCTTAGTTTGTGTGTGGGTTCGACTCACTGAGGGCTAACAAAAGGACAATCTTTTCCTGTTTACAGCCCGTGAGGATTTTTTTTTTTTTTTAATAATTTAATTTAAAAAACACAGTTCTACAATACTTACTTACGTTACTTACAATACGGGTCACTTATGCTGGCAATACAATACTCAATACAGTTCCTTACAGAAAATACAATTACTTGCAATARGGGCTACTTACACTGCTAACAATATAATACTCTACTTACATTACTTGCTGTACATACAGTTACTTACAATACGTTATACTGTATATTGACTTTGAGGAGGGAGGAGTACTTCTCACTAAAACATTTAATTAAGAGATGTTTGCCAGGCGACCTGACTCGCGTGAGTGTTCCTTCGTGATCCATTGATAAGGAGTAGTAGACATGGCATTTTATATAAAATGCAATTCTTAGTTTGTGTGTGGGTTCGACTCATTGAGGGCTAACAAAAGAACAATCTTTTCTTGTTTACAGCCCGTGAGGATGAGGGCAAGAGATCCGCTCGTCAGAGGTGTCCCCCTCCTTTAAAACCCTGCGGTGAAGCCGGCTGCTGTGAACGATTTCGGTAGGTACGAGTTTAGGGCATATATCTAGCTAGTATTGACATTGATGTATTTATAAACCGTCGGTAAAATTTTCACTATCTTGTTCGGGTGGAATGGGTGAGAAACGAATCGACGAACGAATAATTTCCCAAACAAGGAAATCGCATTCACAAAACGGGCGAGAACAATTGACAATTTTTACCCGCCCGATGCTTTTCACACTCGCATTGACGAGTAGGCGAGCGCCAATTTCCCACACTGGTGTTGCGTGGATGTTTTCGTGGACAATTTGTTTATGTGTCGCTTCGTTTTCAAGTGAAGTAAAACCCCCAACGCTATGGGGATGCCTTCTTTGATATGCTATTCTCAAACTCATTAATAATTTATCAAAAGCAAATAAAATCACCACCGTGAAGGAGGTTTCGATACCTGGTCTTAATTGCGCATAAATTTTAACGATTTTACTTCTCCGTTTACTTCTCAGTTTTTGTTTTGATTGAGAAGATATATCAATACAATTGAATTGTATAAAAACGTTTGGTCGTTAATGTGATGGACTTAAGTAGTTGTAATAGTTTTACAAATAGTGTAAGTAGACGTACTGGTGTTGTAAGTAGGGTGAATCACAATTTAAGTGTCAAAAAGAAAAAAAGGAAAAAAAAAAGATATATCAAACACTCGAGACAGTGTTTCATCGGCTATCTTAACACCTCAAACACGTTCTCCAAAATACGTCAGTAACACTTGCTCATTTCACGTTGTTGTTTTGCAGATGACGGTTAAGAAGTGTACCAAGATTCAAAACGCAGGTGCAAAGCTATTGTTCTGCTCATTAAACCTTTTGTTTGTTGCCGTTCCAACAAACAACAGGTTTCATGATAAGTAGAACAGTGGCTCTGGACGTGCGTTGTAAGTCTTTGTACATTTCTTAACCGTCATCTGCAAAACAGCAACGTGAAATGACAAAGTTCTGCGCAGTCTGAGAAACGCAAACGACTTCGGCCAATTTTTCGTATTTCCATTTGGAACTGAAGGGCACTGAAGGCATACTAAACAGATCTAAGCAATGGCGAATTTCACTGGTGAAATATAAATCTATTTTTGACTAGTCGTCGTTGTTTTTTAAGGCCCCTATTTTTAAACCTCCTAAAACCGAATGAACGGCAAAATAATGAACAGCCAAACGAGCTCAAAACAAATGAAAGCGCAGTCGAAAAAAGGGATGGCCGAGAGTGCAGAAAGCATCTGTGCTCTGAAACGTCCTTTGAAAACCAAAAATATCAAATCACTTTTCGCCATGTTTCCCGCCATTTCGTCTCAGGTAGTAGCGAGAAAGTCACTTGGGCTGTCCACGCATCGTGCGAGTAACATCCTCAGGAGAACTGGGTACCATGTCTAAAAATAACTTAAGAGGAACTACGTCGTGTAAAAGGCTTATATGGGGGATTCACTCTCTTACCTTGATCTTCTCTTTGTATAATATATAAAAAAGGCCTGACCAACATAATGTGGATCCTCGAATTGGTAGAGTAGATTACATCACAATGGTGTATAACCCTGGATAATTACAAGTTTTCTTTTCTTTTTCCAGCAAATGATGGCGGCAATGATGTCTCATCAATGGAATGACGGCCTTAACTTAGTAACAAAATGATTAGTTGGTAAAATAAGGCTTGAAGAAGTAACTGAGTAAATGTGGGTAATGAGTAAATGCGGATAAACTTAAAACTTTAACGAAAATGTAACAAGGCGATAAATAAAGGCTTAATCATTCAAAAACATTTCTTTTGCCTCCATCATTTATTAAAACAGCAAGTAAAAAAAGAAAAGCAAATCAAAGGGACCCAATCAGACTTGACACGAGTCGACGTCATAGGTTTCAGGGTAGAATAGCTAAGCGAGCGAAGCGGTGTGAAGGTCGCGAAGCGGCCGAGTGGGCGACGAAGTCGTGAAAGGTCCGGCAGGTAATGAATAAAGAAGACGACGGACTTTTCTGAAAGTCTAGGACCCAATGGAAAAGTGAACGTAGACTTATGAAATGGTCAGCTTTGTTCAAGTGCTAGTTTGAGTCAGAAGGAAAAAAAACAGCATGATGAAAGAGGACGTAACCCTTTATAGCTGACACAAAGAAGAAGCCATAATCGGGGACGGAGACGAATTTTGCTATTTTAGAACAAATTGCGCCATCGCGTGTGCCACACGTGATGGCATGTGCCATATGCGCGTACTGCTGCTAGGACGCGAACAAGTATATAGTTTTAAAAACAGTTAGAAGTCAATAAAGTGTACAAACACCGTTCTTGTCCTACCGATTATTTTCATTCACAAGAAAAATGGGGTCACCTCTGACCTTAAAAGCGAGATTGTTTCTTCGACCTATTTTCGTGGTTCACATTTGTTGTCAAATGAAGTGGACTTACATTTTCCCTTCGCGAAGTTTGTAAGATTTAAGAATCTATATTAGTTTATGCTGACAACAGTTGTGAGTTACAATTTTCAGTAGGCCGAAAAACTTGAGGGACAAACAACCAATTGATTTGCTCGATAATTTTTGAATGTTACTGAAAGGAACTATCGTGTTTAAGTAAAGTCCTCCATCCATCCATCCATCCATCCAATTCATCTGGGACCTGCGCGTCATAACCAACAAATAGGCACCGGCTTTCACACAGTTTTTTTCCTATTGTTTGGCAAATTTACCTCTTTCCTAGCAGAACTGTCTTAACTTCCCCTCCCCGTAAATTTCCTTGTAATGAAGCGTCCACACTACGCAGGAGAATGTTGAAAACGCAGTTTTATTTCTTTAGTTCAGAACAAACTGATTTTTTTTTCTTTTTTAACCCGTTAGATTTTCAATTAAAAACGAACAGACTATCTTTATCAATGGATCACAGGAACTCTTACAAACAATTCTCCTTTCAAGCACTTCCAAGGGGTTCTTCTTCTTGTTTCTTGGCATTGCTCCTTGTACGGTAAGGATGCCCAAAATAATCAACATCAGGACCAAACAAAGCTTCGCCTCCATAGCTTTCTTTACTACGACAAAAAAAAAAAAGGCCGACTTGTGAGAAATACAAATGGAGATAATTCTTAATTTGATCCTTAAGGACCTAACCTAAAGAACATTTGGCAACCTCTGTACATGAGTTAAAATACAGAAGCACTGTTTGATATCCTACATTTTCCTTGAAACTTGGAACTTGCGAGGACAGATCAAAGCGAGGTAACGAATACTTTCTTCAAATACTGACAGAGACTACAGGCCGGCGTCTTCCCTATCGGTCTCCCACAATTTATTTACTGATTTAGTCTGTAGAAAATCAATTGCATTTTATTGGTCCAGAGTTTGACCACTTTTTCGCTTCATGAAAGGGAAACGGAAAAACCTATTTCTTCCGGTTGCCTAGGGCTGGTGCATGGAATCACAGGTAGTGAAGGTGAAGTCTGCATATGAACCAAGTGGCACATCAGGCCGGAGCTTATCGCGGTTTTTGCAGCATGAAGCGACTAGGAGTATTTCTACACCCCCTGGATGGGAACCTAGTCCATCGCAGTCCCCCAGCTTTAAATTCGCCGGTACCCATTCGTACCCCTGGGCGGAGAGAGGCCCCCAGCCAGGGCTCTAACCTGCAGCTGGACCACTCGATCCGAAGTCGAGCGCACTAACCATGACGCCACTGCGCCTCCCACGGAATCACAGGTAAATATCATGATAACACCTAGCTGCTCACAATGTACTGAAACTTACCGCGCTAGAGTCTTCTCTTTAGATATCTTCCTTCAAACGGTCAGTCGTCCCCGATAAGCGAAACCTTTCTAACAGGCTAGCTCTCCGTGGGGAACTGAATGTTTTATGTGGCTTTGCCTCCTTTTTAAGAAGTCCTAAACATGAAACAAATAATTTTAAACTTGACGGCTGTAAATTGGCAAAACAGTATCATCGAAACTCATGTCACAACTGTTAGGACTTGCTTGCACCAGTAAAGCTTGCAAAGAGCGCATGCCCAACTTCATTTGTCTAAGGTGAGCCTCTAAATGTTTACTTAACGAAAAATTTTCGCTGAGAGAGAAAAACTGGAAATTTATCATTATAATAGAAATTTTAAGAAATGTAAAACCAACCAGAAGGAGTGTCCTGACTAACAAAAACTTTTACATTCCTAAAATCAGGCTTAAGTCTAATGCTGAGCACAAAAATTACGATCAAAGACCGCGATTTTAAACAAAAGAAGACAAAAGGCAACCAATTAGGGTCCACTAGGCAAGCTTGTCATGTGTTTCTAAAGGAATTATCCCTTAGGTACAGAAATGCTTTTAATTAAACTCGAGACGTAAAGTGTTATCGAAATTGCGTTCAGTTATCGTCCATTGTTTAGGGGTAATAGCCAGTTTTAAACTAACAATGGCTTGATTGATTGTAATAAATTGAAAACTGGCATGAAATAATTGGTCTTCGGAAAAAAGACATCACTTGACAGTAAGTTTCGTTTCAGAAATAACAACCTATCTTCTACCAAGGTATTTAATTAGTTTTATTTGCAGATTGTGACGTTGGAAAGACACTAATTTAAGCTGTTGGCCTGTGTGTCCGTCCAATGCACAATAATTAAACATTTCCTTCATGAAATAGTAAGCTATCATGAAAAAAAGGCTTACCTAAAATAACCACTTTCCATATTAGAATGGTTTGGTCCTTAATTGCGAGCAATCTATGTTTTTCATTTACGGTTTTAGTTTCCCTAAGTAGGTAAAAGTCAAAGACGACGTAATACAAAAAAAAAAAAAAATTACACCCTCTTTCAGTGTTACGTGCATAGGTGACATCTTCCGACCGTCTCTCGACATTCCATCTTTCGACATTCCATCTTTCGACATGCTATGTAAACGGTTGAAAGACCGTTTACCTGTGAAACTGGCAATTTTTTCCGGTTATTAGGGGAACAAATGACAAGTATATGATAATTACTGACCTCAAATGAATGAAGGAGACTGTGGACTCCCGATTTACGGGATAATTCAAACGATTTTAGTGTAGTCGATCGGCTCTCAATGTTGACTTCCGGTAGAGTTGGGCCGCTACCGCTCAGTTTAATATTCGAAAGATGTAAACAATTTGTCTCTCACAGAATGACTTATTGATCTCCTAACCTGAGTTTGATGTCAAATAAATCCATCTTTCATGACTAAAAGTTGAGTTTGACCATAAAGAAGTCCGTTGTGCTTACATTTTTGACGTAGGCCAGGTTACATAACATGTCGAAAGATAGTTGCTACGCAAGTAACACTGAAAGCGGGTGTAAATGTCTCCAGCATAGTGTGGACGGGGCGTAATTGCCATGGGCAAATTAAGGCCAAAGTGACCAAGTTTCAAGGGAGGTTTGCAAGCCTTCGCAACTTTCTAATTGTTCCCAATTAACGTTCTGATTGGTTAGCTATGTTTCAACTGACCCGGTTCAAGTAGTCGCACAGTAAGTTTCATGAATGGTTGAACAAATTTTTTCCAAATTGAATTGCAAAATATTTCAATGACTGGACTGAATAGATATTTCAGCAAACAGATTGAATAAATGTTTTTATGATCTCTTATTTTGAAGCTAATGGTCCAAATACTCTCATTTTGTCTGGAAAATAGTTCCACCGTCGATACTCGAAGGCCAAAGCATTTCTTAACTGCAAAAACGGCCACAAGGGAAATTTGTTGCGTTTTTTTTTTTTTATGGTAAAACAACCTGCTGACACTGTCGCCAAATATATCTATTTATGTAAATACAGTTGCGACCACCTCTCGTAAGCGACCACCTCTCCTCAGCGACCAGTTTTCCAAAATTCCAAAAGTTTCAAGTCAAATCACAATATTTGGAACCTCTTGTAAGCGGCCACCTCTCGTAAGCGACCGCGACCACTTTGGGAGCTAAAAGTTTGAAATCAGTTTTCTTTTGTTTTTAACCTTCCATAACATGGCCGAAAATTTTGGACATTTGAGCCCGCATGGCAGTAGCGGCTTTTCCCAATCGATAATAAAAATGGCGTACCAGGAGGGAGAGGTGAACACGTCAGATTTGGCTGACCCTATGATCATGGCCATTATGACGTCACGGCGAAAGAAGCGCGCAAATGCAAAAATTTTCGAAAATGGCGTCGTCGTCTCTCGCTAATACAACTTTTTGAGGAGGATTTCTCCAATCATTCCAGCTACAAATGGTATTGTATCTGGATCTCAAGGAGTGATTATCATTTTTCTTTCTTGAGAGGTAAGTAGATTTTAATTACAACTGAAAAATCTTGCATAAAGTGTTACAGTCATCGCTCTCCGGTGGAAATATGTGGGGCAAAATTTTGACTATTTGCCCTGTAAAATTTCCTTTTTTT